ATTGTTGTTTCCAACTCCTCTGGTCCAGACGTCATGTCAGTGTTCTCGTTGTCTCCATTCCAGTCAGGTAATGGTGTTTTTATCGGTGGTAACGTTTCCACCCTATCTGTGGGCATCTCCACTGTTGGCTCTGGCATACTAACATCATTTTGTATTGTGGTTACTGTCGTCTCAGTAGTCGTCTTTGTCATTACTTTTGTTACCATGTTAGTTGCTGCATCCGTAGTTGTCGTCATTGTTACCGTAATGGTGATAGACCGCGTCGTATTTGTGTATGGATCGTTAGTTTTGTTGGTTATCGTATTAATCGTCACCATTGCCGATTTATTCGGTACCAATTCTGTACTCAATCCTCCCTCCTCGGCTCCTACCACATTCGAGACGATGCCAATTGCAAGCAGAATCAGTGCAACGAGTGGCTTCATACTGTGTGTGTTATGCGCCCTTCTAACAATCCTCTGCTCCTTTTTATATGCTCAGTTTATGCGTAGGTGTCAAGGCAATATTGATGCGCTATTAATGCCGACAAAAGTTTGATTAAAGCTAATTAAGAGCACAGCGGTGCCGAGAAACCAAAAAACAAAAAATTTCCTTGCACCCACATGCATTGTTATGAGCATAAAGTAGTGCCACAAGCAAGCATCCACCATTTATGCAGGTAATATGACACCTTCACAAGTTAGGAGTTAATCGTCGCTGAATGGCGGTGAGAAAATGCATGCCGTTGAGCATCGGCTTGCGCATTTGTAAAGAGTGATTCCAAATGTTTGCTTTGAGGGGATTAGCATATTGGTTAGTAGGTTGACATCTATAAACCTTAAGTCGGTCATAAATTTGCCTGTGACCGCGCCTATCCGAATTTAAGTCTATACATTTAAGGCTCACGATTAGTGAGTAGTGAATTGAGGTATTTTTGTTTCGTATCTTTGATTTGCCCAGTGAGGCGTCACTGATGTACCTTTTTGATTCTCACAAAAATCGCGCTCTTCTGTACCTTGCATTCGAGTAGCTCTTGAGGCGACGCATGGAATGCTGTGCGGATCGCGTGGACTAGTGAATTAATGTGGCTTTGTTTTAAAGCTGCTCTTATCTCACTCCTTTTCTTCCATACTCCATTGTCTTATTCATGGTTTTTACGTTTTAGGAAGTGGTTTAATTGGCGGGATTGTAGAAGACTGTGCGAGTCTCACAATCCTCCTTTGCGGCACTTCCATTTCTACGAAAATTTGTAGCTAGTCGTGTAATTTAGAAAATTTACTAGCCGAATTGGGAGCAAAAGCTCTTTCAGTGTAAATTTAGACGATTCTCTCATCAGTCACTCAACATAATGCCGAGGCGGTGGTGTATTGCGTTTGTGAAGCATTGCGAAGTCCTGATACCACCCTACCCACGAAAAAGACTTGAGTTTGTAGCAAAGTAATTGACAAATGGGCACTTAATTCTTCTGCAGTGCTACTAAAATCTTAGTATCTCTACTTCTACCTTCTTAGGCCCGTAATATGACACACAAAAGGCTCGGTACGGTCTTATCATTGTCGTTGAAGTGAAGTGTGCATCTTATGCAAAGCATACGCGAGAATTTGGTTCTACGCTCACTGTAATGCAAATGTTTTAAATGTTTTAAACATTTCCCTTATGCTCTTTCATTATCTCCTGATTATAATGTCTCTGGTCTAGCCTAAAACCACAAACGCTTCGATTAGTGCGGAAGATTCATTGAGTTTAAACAAGGGGCTTCTGTATGAGTCCTGAGGGCGTGTTGTTTAGTGAAGGTTCAACAAAAGACACCAAAAAGTCACACCTAATTTCCTCTCTACGCTAAATAAAATAGGAAACTTCGTGCTTCAATGTTCGAATTGACATCAATCTGAGGTGTCATCAGTCTAACTACCTGCTTTTTATTCTCACCTTGCATTTTCACCCTAAAACATGTGAACGACATTGGTAAAATGTGCAAACACAAGAGGCGTGCAAACGTTGTTTGTGGAATTTGCATGGTGGGTAAACGCGAGTTCACTTGCGTCACCTCCATCTCTCGTTGCTCAAGCACACTCGAGAAGATAGAAGTAACAGAGAAATTGTAAGACAATGAAGCGTCCCGGATACAGAGGTAGGTCGAAGAAACTGCATTCCTTGTGTAAAGGAGGAAAGGAAAGATTATAAAATGACCCTCTGAGTGTCCTTATCGTTTCTAGCTAAAAAAAGCTTTATGATAATGTAATAGTTGTTTTGAGAAAGGTTATGAGGGTTGTAGAGAACGAATAAATGCGAAGGCATTGCAATTTTGCCCTTTTACTGGCAAAAGTTACTCCTTAAGTTGTTTAAATAATGCCGACTACGTGAGGCCACGGAGGTGTCGTGTTTTCTCATCGCTGCAGGGCACAGTGATTTCATACTTCTAGTAAAGTGCTGCGTCTATTTGTTGTACGGAAGAAAAAAATGTGGTCGAAGTTGGATGTTCTTGCTGCCGCCACAATTTGTCATTTGTGATCTCACTCATTCCTTTTGAAGGAGAGGTTTTTCCAACAATGGCAGACCTGCCTTAAACGGGGAAAGGGTCGTTTAAGGTGGGGAGAATTGTGGTGTTGCTAGCGGAATTGCCAGATCAACATCGTTAAATTGAGCCCCGAGACATGCCATAATAAACGAAAATGTGATCAAGTAGTAACAATTCTTCACTGATATTTGCTGTGGATTAATAATAAAATGTGGTGTGTGTGCGCCTGTGTTCGCGTATGAAGTTTAACTTGCGACAGCAGTGGCAATCGACACTCCTGCACCTTGGAAAAGGCTGATCGCTTTGATAAGTTAGCGTAGGCGAATCTCAGAGTATCGGCGCTATTAAATGACACTTCTTATCGTCTGATCTTCTTTCACGTTCGAAGTACCTCACACCATTTTGACTACGCAAAACTCTTCGTAAGATCAGCTACACTATTTTGAAAGTAAAAAGAAATTTTGTTTAATTGCTGCTCGGCATTGGAAGACTGGAGAATGATAGATTTTTACTATCTGGAAAATGGGAGTTGCCGATTCTACGTTGTATGTAGTTCTTTTCTGAGGTTATGAAGGAAACAAAGGAGAAGACGTCCACATCTTGCACCGAACCCCCAACTTAGGCAGAACGTTACCTTAAATGAAACCAAGGTGGCTGTAAAGCCAGTCAATTTGATCCATTTCTGCTGAAGAAATTCACGTCGAGGTATCAACCTCTTTTATCCAGGCGTGAGAGGATTCACGGTTAAAGGCCGTAGAACCGATATTCACCATAGTTTCCGTCTCATGGTTCGAATAAAAAAGGGAAATGTGGTGTATTTTCTTTTAGCAGGAAGAAGTGACCTCTATGCACAACCCATAGAGGTTCATTTGATAAACAACGCATAACCATAGTTTAATTGGCGCAAATACTTTTCAGTTTGCCCTTTCCTCGTCTGCGCCACATTTACTCCTCCAATGCTATCAACTCGTTGCGCTAAATGCCAAACCAGGTTGACAGTCATTACCCAAGCATACACCATCAGAGTATTGGCACCGATGTCTCAAGGCACTGCTTGCCTCACCGTCTCCACCTCCACGCTGCCTCCACCTTCCTACCCTCCTCGCTTCCCTCATCCCTCTTCGCCTCTCTTCCCTCCATCACACCTTCTCGCGTCCCCCTCATCCACCTCTCTTCTCCTTCCAAATCTGCTACACCACATCGTCGCATGGGCACTTGTTATGCCTGCATCTCGACAGTCGTCGACTGCGCAGCCTTCGAAAGCGACGGTTTCAACTCCACCGAAGTGCTCACTGGAGAAGAGGGAAGAGCACGTCTATCACAATGGCATCGACGGAGGGAGAGGAAGCTTCTCACGCACACCTACCACATTGCATCTCGGAGGCGGATCTCCTGCGCAATTGTATGCTGACCTTCAGATGAGAGTCGATTTGCGTAAAAGCACACGCAAAACCGCAGCTGGAAAGCACTGCAGACTTTAATAAATGGTTTTTATGCCCTCCGCTCTTCAATGGTACAGTCAAAAAGGAATATTTTCTCACTTAAAAACGCTTTACCAAAAAAGGCGTCATGGTGTCGTGTTTTGCAAGTACGTTAAAAATACGATATCAGAAATTTATTTTTTTATTCACTTGACTATGCTTCTACCGCTTAATTTTTGGCATGTGGCAACCAAATACCGAAGTGCCACTCAAAACCTGCCATTCTCATTAATATGGCTTTCAGTAAATGTTCTCATTCCTTTCTTTAGGTGAGATCGAGCGCTTTCAACACCAACACCCGTAAGCACCTTTTAATTAAAAATGAAAAGTGAGAAACACCACACACCTCCACCCTTCAACATTCATTTCAAAGCTGCTCCATCGACATGTCTATTTAAGGAATCAGGAGATTGAGGTTAATTTTAATCTTCTAAACCAATGATAGCGTCGATGGCTTCATTCATCCCATGGTTGAGAGTAACACCCACGGCCTCTAAAGCACCGCTTAACGTCAGCCTTAGCGCCTTTGACAGTTTGTAGACAGAGTTTTAGATCGTCGTAAGTTAAGTGTCCAAAAAAGACCTCAAGTTCAGGAACCATCTTATAAGTTCAACCTCTTTGAGCACCAAAAAATGTACCAGTTTTAAATGATTACCTCGAACTAGTTATCAAAACCCCCTTATATTTACTAACATTCAAATATTAGTGCCAAGCTTCGGCAAACAAAAGGAGAAATACATTGCTTGTTATTATACAGGTGTAGAATAAGAAAAATAAAATCCATAATGACGAAATTCCAACCAGCCTACCCATGCCTCCTATAAGCACAGTGCGTGTATTCGGCGAATAAGAAAAGAAACAACTGCTGCAACGCCTCCCGATCGGAGCCGACGTATCTTGGGGAATTCCAGATTCTAATCAGGTATTCAAAAACGTGATTGGTATGATTCACTATATCATCCAATCCTTGTACCATCGAAATCCCTAACCGGTGATTTCCAGTGCTATGATTCGTTCGCCTTCTCATGGCTGATTAATTCACCGTTAGAAGGATAAATTTTAATCACTTTTGGTGACTAAAATTCGCCTAGGAAAGATCTGCTGTCGCAGACTATACGGGATTGGTTTAACCACTGGTTGAAAGAAGAGATAGAATAGTTGAGGCAGCCTTAGCTGTTACAAGAAGTGACTCACGATGTCTATTAGGTCATTTTGTAATCAAAACGTAATTTATGACTGGTCAGAAAGTGCAAGTGGACTTCATGTGTAGCAGTTCAGATGTGCGGTCAGGCATGACCACCAGAGGACACCAGACCGAAGGTGTGGGGTCATAACATCACCCATCTATATTGGCATGGGTGAGTTGGGTGTCCCTACCGTGGTGGACTACTCTCACACCAACAACAGCCACACTTTTCCCTCTGTTCGAACGATGCATAA